CACAGCAACATCCCGCAGTTCTGCTCTTATTTACATTTTGCCACTTAATAGTAATTTAGTTTGTCCAGAGACTATGGTTTTTTGGAAGAAAAATAACACAGGGCTTTGTGCAACATAAAGTAGCTCAACCCTCCCATTACTTAGAAATGAAGGATGAAAACCAGGCGAGTTTTAATAGATGCAATAAATCTTATTGACTTTATTACACGTCGTATTTTAGGATCACTTTACATTCCTAGACAAAAGAGATGATACAAATAAATATAAGCTGTAAAACTATGGACAGAACTATTGACAGGTTCTTTGTCTACAGACCACTGACGAGCAGGCAGAGATGGGTGTATCTCCAAGGAGCTGCGAGTTCTCATACGGACCGTGGGGAGAGCCTCAGGCACTCCGTTTCAGAAAGAAAGGGGCCTGAAGAAGGTAGTAAGCGCCTGGACCACAGAGACTGAAACCCCGCGGTGCGTGGTGCAGCGCAGGCAGGACCTGCATTCTCATCTCAGTTCCATCTCCGCCTCTCAATTATGGCTTTTGCAGGTTCTCTTTTCCAATTTGTGTTTAACGCAGCAGAAGCAGACGCACAGGAGTCACACTGAACCATTGAAAGCCTGGCACACGTCACCTGACGGCAGAGAGGACAGATCCTGATTTACAGGTCTCCCACTGAAACACGGCGAGCGCTCCGTGTTCAGTGAAGGCAGATTTACTACACCGAAAACCTCACTGAACACAAGTCTGATCTGTATAATGCATCAGTGCAGCCCAAGATGCTATGACAGAGGTATGTGTTTCAGAAGATTCAAGCAGCATGCAAATATTTTTAAAAAGGCGCTAGACCTATGTTAAGAATTTTAAGAAAGTGCTTTAATTCCTACATGTCAGTGTCACACGGTGCTTGCTCCCAGAGCCAAGGGCTGACTTCTGCTCCCTGTTGCTTTTTTTTTTAAAAAGATCCCATTATACAGATCAGAGCAAAGACGAGAAGGATGTTAAACATTCCTATGAAGAAACGATGACGGCGCACGTTGTCCGAGGGCCTCTCCCAGGAGTCAGCTGGATTTCCTGTCTTTGGCGGTTAACCTGCAGGAAGCCCAGATGGTTCAGATAACACCCGGAGAGGGGCAAACTCTGCAGGAATGTGTCTTAAAAACTCCAACCCAGAGCTCAATACGTTTTGTACAGCTTAAGACAATGTATTTTATCTTAATGTCAGTGCCACTGAGCATCTGGTTGAGCGTAAGTCCATTGGAATGAGACTCTTAAGAGCTTCTGCAGCAATCTGAGATTGCCCAGGAATACACTAACCGAATCTCCAGCCACAGCTCCCATTTAAATACAAGGACGAAATATGCAGTTTTATTCTTCTTCCACCCTACTGAATTTCTTTCACCTTGCTAACGAATTTCTACAGAATTAAAAGCAGAGCCTTTCTGACATATTAACCAGCTAGCTTACCAACACCAAAACGAGAACAGTTCGGGGTTGCACAGCGGTTTCCACCGTACCAGTCCCACCACAGGGGAGTTTCCAGCATGTGGGTTTAATATGGAATTCCCTATGGAATAGCAGTGACTGTGCGCATGTGCAGACACCGAGGTGTCTGTGTATGCATTTTTCACATAAAACATAGGTGTACGCAGGTATGTACATATACGTGGTTATATGTTTTGTTGCCGTTTCAGGTTTCAGACCCCCCTCCTTGTTTCATTTCAATTCTCCGAGCACTCACACCATACAATCATGTTAAAATGTCCAAGTACAGAGGATTATGTGCTAGAAGGAAAGAGGGAGGAGAAGGGAGAGAAGGTAACGTTTTATGCTGCAACAAAAGTCAATTAAAAGGCTCTCTATACGTAAACAGCGCTTTATAAAAAGGAAGATTATGCCAGGTTTCTATGTCTGAGTTGAAAGAAATTTGTCAGATGCCTGCCCTCTCAATTATAAGCAAACTCCTCTTTCCTCCACCAAAATTAATATATATATATATATATTTGTGCATGTGTGGATATATACGTATATATTAATCTTGTGGTCCAGAAAAGCATTCCACGAGTCAAAGCAGCCGAGTTAGTGTTTCCCGGGGCCCGTCTGGGCAGCCGGCTCACCGAGGCATCGTGCCCGCAAGATGCAGGGGTGAGCCGTGCTGGGCGGTCGGTTCCTTCTGCTCAAGGGGGTCAGAGAGAACGGGAGTTCTCCAGCCCGGGTGAAGTCGCTCAGCGGACACTGACCGAGCGCACGAGGCAGAGTCCACAAAAAAACTGGCAAGTCCTCGTGCGCTCACAGGCGTCGCTCTGGTGGAAGTCATCAGTGAGGGAGAGGAAATAGGTTAAAACGTTCATCGGGTGACAGCCAACAGCAACCAGAAAAAGTAACATCCCGAGTCTCAATATACAGTGAACTAAAACTTACGAATGAGCTGTGAGACACTAGACAGGGACACCTTAGTCTGTCCTTAGCACGGCAGTTCTGCCTCTCTACCCTGCCA